AGCAACACTTCACACGGAAGTCGTGGCTGGTGTGAGCCAGGCCCTGTTCTTAGCCTTCTGCGTATTCCTTTCATCCTCCCAAACCCGAGGAATTAGGCACTATTGCTAAGCCCATTTGGCAGATGAGGAAACTGAGGTGTAGGGCGGCAGGGTCACCTGTCCAAGAGGCCTGATCACCGCATCTGCCTAAGTGGCCATGACTATTGTGCTGCTTCAGGAGAATGAGGACAACTGGGGACAGACAGACTCTGCTAAAGGAAGCAAGGGAGGCTGGGGGTGGGGGTGGGGCAAGGGTGTGGGAGGAAAAGCCAGCGGGGGTGAAATGCAGGACCAGTTAGGGGCACACTGAACCTGGGGAGCCTGAGGGACATTCCAAGGGGGACACATGTGGAGGCTGGACCCCGGGCTGGGGCCAGAGACCCAGGTGGGGAGATGAGGTGATTATACTCATTGGCAAGGGGGAATGAAGGGCAAGGAATCCAGGGCCCCACCGTATCCCCCGAGGAGGGGGTGGTCAGCCACCAGATCAAATGGAAGGGGGTCACCTGTGGCCCCCACATACCATCTGCCCCTTGCAACAAGTTCTCTTTCCATTCCATATGTTATTTGTTGCACTTACTGTGTTGTTGAGCACCTACTGTGTACATGCAGGACACATGCTGAGTGTTGAGGAGCCAGCAGTGACCAAGATGGACAGAGTCTCCTGGCCTCGTGGTGTGGTGGGGACAGAGGTAATAAATATAGCATATATATATATGTGATCAGTGCTCTGGTCTGGATGTTTGTGTCTCCCCACAAAATGCATATATTGAAACCCTAGCCCCCAGTGTGATGGTATGAGGAGGCAGGGCCTTTGGGAGATGATCAGGGATTAGATGAGGTCATGAGGGTGGAGACTCCATGATGGGGTTAATGCCAAGAGGAAGACACAGGAGATCTCTCTCTCTCTGCCTCTCTCACTGCACACACCAGAGAAGGGCCACGTGAGGACATAACCAGGAGCAGGGCCCTCACCAAGATCTTGGTGGTCATGGCACCCTGATCTCACGCTTCCACCCTCCAGGATCATGAGAAAGACATTTGTTGTTTCAGCCACCCAGTCTGCAGTATTTTTTACGGGAGCCTGAACTCAATCAGGTTGTGGTAACTGCTCTGTGAAAAAAAAAATAGCAGGGAACAGGAAAGGAGTCCAAAGGAAGCGGTGGGGTAGATTTTGAGCACGGTCAGACTGTTGGGATGACATTTGAATAAATTCCTGACAGAGGTCCAGGAGGAGCCAGCCATGCAAGGATGTGAGGCCTAGGTGGGCAGGGGGAACTGTTCGAGCAAAGGTCCTGGGGTGGGATTGCAGTTGTTGGATTTGAGAAAGGAGGCAGGTGTGGCTGAAGGGAGGTGCAGTGAGGGTAGAGCGGAGGAAAAGTCAGGGAAGTGACCATCTTTTTGTACCCTGTTCACATCCCACAGCCTCATCCTATTTCCTGCAGCTGGCTGAGGACAGTGCCCTCGGGCTGGCCACTAGAGGCCACCCTCTCTGCCATTTACAGGGTCACAACCACTGTCATCCACCTTTGAGATTGTGGCTTGTTTACTCTGACCCCTGACTGTGCCTGTAATATCATGCTAAAGCGCTTTACACGGATGGGCTCAGCTCGTCCTCCTAACATTCCCGAGTCAGATGCATTGACAAATTTTTTTACAGCTTTGAGTTATAACTGACATACTGCAAATCACACACATTTCAAGTGTCCAATCTGATGAGTTTTCACATCTTGTAACCCCGCATCACAACCAAAATACTAAACATATCCACCATCTCAAAAAGTTACATTCTAGCCCTTTTTTGTCCCTCCCTCTAGCCTCTCCCCACTCCACCCCCAGACACCCAGAAATTGATCTGCTTTCTGTTACTAGAGATGAGGCTGCATTTTCTGGAGTTTTAGGTACATGGGACCAGAGAGTATATACTCTTCTTTTTTTTTTTTAAGATTTTATTTATTTATGTGACGGACACAGCAAGAGAGGGAACACAAGCAGGGGGAGTGGGAGAGGGAGAAGCAGGCTTCACGCGGAGCCGGGAGCCCGATGCGGGACCCGATCCCAGGACCCTGGGATCATGACCCGAGCCAAAGGCAGACGCTTAACAACGGAGCCACCCAGGTGCCCCTATACTCTTCTTTTTTATCTGGCTTCTTTTCCGCCGCAGAATTATCACGAAGATTCGTCTATGTTTTTGTATTTGAGCCCCTTTTGCTCCTGAGGGAACTGAGGCACAGGGAGGTGTGACTTGGGGGCGCGAGGAGGAGGAGGTGTCACACAGGTTCGGCCCCAGAGCGGCGCGGGTCCCGGATGCCCAGGCCGCCGAGGGGCGCTCTGGCGGGTGGGACGCGGGCAGGTGCACTCACGCGCGGGGCCGCCCCCTGGCCGGCCTCTCCCTGCGCGCCGCCGG